CCGCTCCTCCTGCGGTGCGGTAAGCAGCAGACGAGCAAAGTGTGCTGAGCAGGATATGGCAAGAGTATGGCGAGTCAAGCAAGTAGGTGACTAGTGCAGAACATGGTGAACGGAGTAGGCGAGCGAGCGTGGTAAGCAAAGTGAGGCAAGGCAGATAGAGTAGGCAGCCCACCACCCCTTACCAACACCCACAAGGAATACAGACACACCAAACAACCACAAATGACATACCACTCCTCTCTCACTCTCTCTCTCCAAACAAAAACACAAGTCTCCATATTCCATTTCGCTGCATGCTACCATTTTTTGATCAAACTAAAAGAAAAAAAAAAACACGACCAGAGAAAGGGCAAGTCAAGCGCCCACCCATCCCGCCATCCGCGGCGGTGGCACAGCATGGCATGGCATGGCATACCATACCATACCATACCATACCCAGCAACAAGCTAAGAAGCCATGCCACTCAAGCCAAGTCACCAACTACCTACCACAGCGACTGGACGGATGGGGATAAACCTTGTGCCTCGCTCATACTCATTCATCATCCCTCATCCCTCATCCCTCATCCATCAACCTTCTTTTCTTTTCGTCTTCGTCCCTCTCCCTCTCACTCTCACCCATACCATGCATGACCCACCCCCATCAGGATTCCAGTGAATCCTCCTCCCTCATGTCATGACCTCCTCCAACCAGCACCCCATTCTCCATCCCGCCATCCCATCTCATCTCATCTCACCTCACCAGCGGCCCGCTCTCGCCATGATTTCCCTCGTTCATCTCATAAGCTCGCCAAGGTCAGGTCAAGCCAGACCAGGCCAGGCCATAATCCTCCCCACCCCCTCTTAAAGAATGGCAGACAAGCAGTTCGTTTTTGGGTCCGGCCATGTCGCTGAATGCAATAACAAAAAAACGACTGCATCGCGGTGTAATATGTGTGCGATAAAAAAGCTCAATTGATGGATGAATGGATGGATGGATGATGGGATTGGATGGACGAGGGCAAAAGCTAGTAGTTATAACCGTCCTCTCTTTCTCTCTCTCCCGCCTCCTGCCAGCCAGCCTGCTTGTCTGCCAGCCCGTCTCCTTTCGCTTTTGATCCATCATTCATCCCCGTTCTCCGCTTGCTTCTCATTCCCCGTCAATGCTGCCCGCAAAGAGCAGAGCTCCCCGTCATCGGTGGGGGCTCGGCATGGATAATCCGCTTCAATTTCGCTTCGGCCTGCTTGATGAGGCTCCCGAGTTGGCCGACACTGCCTCGACTTAGCCAGCCCAGTAACGGCAGCACACCTGACAGGTATTTAATCATGCCACGGCAATTCTTAGGAGGCTTAAAACGAGTGAGTTACCCCGACAGCTTAGGCAGGGATTCGCAGACAGGCGGGTAAGCAGGTAGACGAAGCCGCGGCACGACCTTTGCAGTTCGTTTCCGCAGTTTCTCACTGCGGCCGTTGGCCCGAGAACTTGCCCTGGGGCTGCTGCGGCGTGTAGGCCGGTTGCTGGTACGGCATCCCGGGACTCATACCATACACGGCCTGCTGGCCCTGGTGTGATCCCTGATGCGAACCCTGGTGCACCATCATCGGTGCGGTCGGTCGTCCCGGGCTGGGGAACCCGTTGGACCCGGGGACCGGCTGCGGAGGCCCTGCGCCGGCGGGAATAAAGTGAGGTTGAGCCCCGGGATACATCGGTCCCGCTGTCACCATTCCGTTGGGGCCCATAAACCCCTGCTGATCATCATGGGGCCCCCATGTG